GAATTCTGTTCTTTACCTATTTGACCCAAATGATGTTAAAAGGGATCTGATTCATATCTTCACCCGGCAGCACTTCTCCTGTTCCACTGTCTTTTCTCCCCGCATCACTCTGTCCAGAGCATCATTCACTGCCACAAAGGCTCCCTCTCCATCCAAATCCCTTACAGCTTTTGCTTTCTCTCCCCCTAAACTTTTTCTCAACACGTTATTGTGTGGATCTACTTAACTTTTCTAGCAAAGAACTTCTCTTCATTCTTCCCTTCTGTCCAAGCCCAAATTTTAGGAAGAGGCAAAGACAAACTCAGGTTGGGAGTTAGGGTGGTGGAGAAGGGAGAATTGGACCAACAATAATAGGATAAGGAGCACTGGTGGCATAGTGCCTAAGGCATTTGACTGCTAACCAGAGGGTTGGTGGTTCAAACCCACCAGCCACTCCATGGAAGGAAGACTGGGCAATCTACTTCCATAAAGATTTAACACCTAGGAAACCCAAAAGGGGTCTCAATGAGTCAGAATTGGCTCAATGGCAGTGAGTTTGGTGGGGTTTTTTTTGTTTTGTTTTGTTTTGTTTGAGTAAAAAATAAGATGCTCAGCAGTGGACAGATCAACAGGGAAATCTCTAAACATTTTCATATTAATAATTTTATATCTATCTGTGACAGGATATAAATTATTTTATACCATATTCTATATTGATTGAAAGTCAATGTGTCTTTTTGTTCACAAAGTACTGAATGTTTGGTGAATATTTAAGTATTGTACCTACAACTGACAATCTGATTATCTTCCTTATTTAAATATGTCCTATGACTGTGTTGATTGTGGCAGCATATTAAAATGTAAGTCTTATTTTCCCACTGGTTCATAGCCACCTTAATTTACAGTTCAAAATATTACTGTCTCAGAACTGAAGCAAAATATAAGTGGTTAGCCACAAACAACACATTTATTTAAGATAAACCTTCACATCTCTATGTAGTTCTCTAAATGCCTAATAACATTCCCATGTGTATATCCATGAAGACTACATCTTGCCTTTGGGTTAAGTCAGAGCTTCTCAGTGTGTTCACCTAAGTATGCCGTACAAGAGAAGGGCATGAATGTAGCTGAAGAATGTGGAACCACACTTTTATGGAGCCTAAAGCTCATTCTGTTCCTTTAAGATGACTCCTCCTGTGTCTCCAGCTTGCTCTCGCTTGGGCCTGCTTGTTTTCGTGTCCTGGGTTTCGGCACCAAAATGTTATCTGGGCAAAGAAGCCCTCTCCCTGGTCTCACCCTACTCACAGGAAAAATATCCCCGAGTGAGTGATCTGCTGTGCTTTTAAATATAAATGTAATATTTAAAGAACCAGCTCTTTAGAGTCTTTGCTGAATTTTAAATGTCAGTCCCCTCTCTCTGCATGAATTAGAATCCTCATGGCACATTTTGTGGAAAATCTCAAAATAAATTAGATATACTCCTTTTGATACCACAGCCATTATGTAGGAGTCCATGTACTTAGCCATTATGTAGGAGTCCATGTACTTCTATGACAAATAATGATTGGCCTCCAACTTTGTCACTTGAGGAAACTCAAGATTTTTGTGCTGAGTAAGTGAAGCTTTTAAAATGGATGCCATGAAAATCAAGCATTGGATTTTGCTTCATAGTATTTTTAGTTAGGGAGCTCTGGTAGCATAGTGGCTAAGACACTTGCCTGCTAACCAGATGGCTGGCAGTTCAAACCCACCAGCCACTCCTCGGAAGGAAGGTTGGGCAGTCCTACTTCCGTAGTGATAACTGCCTCGGAAACCCAAGGAGGGGTCGCTATGAGTCGGGGCTGACTCGACGGCACGTAACAACAACAACAACAACAACAACATTTTTAGTTAAATGTGAACATGAACAGATTATATCTTATTACACAAGTAAATGGAATAGTATCATTGATATTTTTTAAACCATATCAAACAGTAATTACTATGTGTATCTTCTCATTTTGTTGACCTGTTGTGCAAGTATTTATGGCTAGATTAAGATAATCAAATTAGATTCTTCAATTGGTAGCATTCATTTCATAGATATAGCTGTCGTATACCTTCTACACAAAAGGCTCTAAGGGAGATGCTGGAGGGAAGGTGTGTTAGATTGGGTTCTCTAGAGAAACACAAAAAACCAGCAAAGTATATATATATATATATATATATATATTTATAGAGAGAGAGAGAGAGAAATTTATCTTAGGAAAATGGCTCACAAGCGTATAGAAGCCGACAAGTCCAAGCCGAAAAGTCCGTCTCTGGAGGAGATGGGGCTTGCGGCCGCCTTGGCTTCCACGAGCACAGGGGAGCCGAGAGATTCAAGCTGGCATGCAGTATACTGGTTGTTGATTCCAACAAAAGATGAATCCGAGATCTCCAGGCCGAGCGATGGGCCGCTCACTCACAGAAGTCTGTAGTTCGCACACCAGGGTTCCAATCGCTTAAGGAATGCGGCTCTTCCAGGATGTCCTTGGATATCATTGCAAGCAGGCCACACCCCTAGGGAAACTCCCCTTGGGCAGACTGGCCACTCAGAACACAGTCATCTGATCCCATCATGGGAACAACCACACAGAACTGGGGTCCAGCCAAGTTGACACACAGCTCCAACTATCACAGAAGGGAAATCATAAAATGATGTCAGGCAGGAAGGTAGCCCTCAAGGATCCTAAAAATGTAAGGAAGCTAATAAAACATTCCCACAAATAATTATACTGTAGAGTGCAGTGTTAAGTGCCTTCAGAGAGGTTTAGAAAAAGTGTTTGGAGAATCTTGAGGAGATGATTTAGGAAGGAGAACATCAAAGGAAGAAGGGGCAGGTGGCCCCAACATTGCTGGGTGGGTCGCATTTGGATGTACAGGAACTCAGAAGAAGTTTATTTCAGGAGACAGGAATCTTAAGCGAATGCAAGAAATGCTTAGATGTGGAATGGCGCTATTTGATTGTGGCAGAAGGAAAGGGAGTATGGTGGAAAGTAAAATTGAAAAAATAGTTTGAAAAATGTGGATCTTCTTAACATAGGTTAGGGAACTTGTTTTTCAGAAAGAGGTAGGAACTCAGGGAATGATAAGCAGAGACGTGACATAATACGCTGAAGAGCTTGCCAGGGGGAAGAATGATAAGAAATCTAGCAGAAGGAGAGCAGGCATTGGGACAAGCAGTTATGGAAGGATATTGAGAGTCCTGGGAACAGTGAGAAGTTTGTTATGGCTGGTGTGTACAGGGAATGAGTGGGGCTGGAAGACAAGGTTAGAAAGGAAGGTTGCAGACAAATTCTGAAGGGAATTCTATACCAACTTTTGGGGGTTTTAGTGTTTATCCTATACAGACAACAGAATTTATGAGAAAGGTAACTCTGTGGGCAGTGTGGAACATGGACTAGCCGAGGTTAGCAAACGTTTTCAGTAAAGAGCCAAATCATAAATATTTTTGAGTATGTGGGCCACATATGGTTTCTGCCTTATATATATTTTTTCTTTTTGAACAATGACAAAAAACAAGTCTTTAAAAATGTAAAAACCATTCTTAGCTCCTCTGGCCATGTAGAAACAGGCTTTGGCTGACTTTGGCCCTTCCCCATTGTTTGTAGACCCCTGGACAAGACTGAGAAGAGAGATGTGTCAGATAAAATTAGAAACAAGGTTACTGTGCAAAACAAAAAGTCTGGTCTGGGTTCCTAGTGGTGGTAGAGATAGAGGTAAGGAGATGTATGGGAGATAGATTTGAAATAGAATCAGTTATCCTTCACCATTGATTGGCTATGGAAAATTAGGAACCAGAGAGCAAGTAGGGATGATTTTGAGATTTCTGGCTTGAGAGACTAGTAGTAGTGCTGATGTTAACATCAAGACTACAGAAGGGTTTGGGGAGATGATGATAGGCTCAGTTCTGAAGCTGGTATGTTTGAGCTGCTCTTGAATCATCTAGGTTCAGGGTACCTGGGGACTCTTGGCTCTATGAATCTGACATCCAGTTTCCTTCCATGTGGAGCATTTGCCTCACAAGGAGCCCACGGAGAAACAAATCTCAAAGTATGACTCATCACATGAGCCTATAGGACAGGGAAAGAGCTGGTCTTTGGGAACACCAGAGTGGCAGAAGGAGTTAGGATGAAATGGGTCAGGAAGACCGGGTAGGGAGCTCTCCCATGAATCTAGGAAAGAGGAAATGTGTGTCTAAAATTGAATAGTGGCAGTGGAACAGAAAAGGGACAGATGGGATGGGAAAGATGGGGACAGAATCATGAGGACGTGGCACTGTGTACACAGGAAGGAGTCCTGCACGCATTGTCCTCAATTCCAGTATCCTAAGATGGTTCGACTTCTCTCTTGTTCTGCTTCCCGTTTCTGTGTAAGAAACCTAACAAAGTGACTGAGGTTCTCACAGAGCATATAATCTGAATCTTTTCATACCTTTTGAATTTTTGTAAATATCCTATTTTATAGCACAGTAAAGGATTACCATGTCCCACTTGAAAAACTCTTTGCATAGTCTTTCTTTATAGTAGAAGGAAAAAACCCACAGGAGACTGTATGGGGAAAATGCTAACAAAGATTTAAGGTTTTAGAATTAGGATACATATTAATATCTGTATATGGCTAAAATCATCTGTAAACCTAGGGTAAGCCCTTAATCAAGATAGACTTGCATGTTGCCAGCCTTGTTGTGAATCATGACATTGGACCTAAACAGTCTCTTGTGGACTAACTTTAGCAGGTCTTCCGGGGAAGTGTGAGTGCCACCGAGATACAGTAGCTCTGTACATCTGCCTTCCCAGTGCATTGAGCTGCTGTGTTAAAATACCTATAACCACCTCTGCCCATAACGTGCACCTCACTCTAACACTCAAGATGCTTGGTAGTTAGTCTAGAAAGGGCACAAAACCCTTTTTTTTTTTTTTTTTGTCTGTTTGGCAATTAACCATTCACTGGCTTTTTTTGTTGTAACATGCACTTCCTTTCTCTTGTTTTCATTCAAGCTGTGTACGCCATGGAAATTAATGTGGAGAAAGACAAACAAACAGGAGAGACCAAGATTCTCTCTGCATCCACCATTGGCCCAGAAGGGGTCCATCAGAGAGGAGTCAAAGTCTATGATGACGGTACCAAAGTAGTCTATGAGGTGCACTCAGGTGGCACCGTTGTAGAAAACGGAGTACACAAATTAAGCGCAAAGGATGTAGAAGAGCTTATTCAGAAGGCTGGACAATCAAACTTAAGAGAAGGGCATATGTCAGAAAGGACTGTGATCGCAGATGGGAGCCTCGGCCACCCAAAGGAACACATGCTGTGCAAGGAAGCCAAGTTAGAAATGGTACACAAATCTAGGAAAGATCATTCTTCCGGGAACCCAGGGCAGCAGGCCCGAGCCCCCAGTGCAGAAGGGCCGGAGGCAAACTCAGATCAGCCAGTCACCATGATCTTTATGGGCTACCAAAATATCGAGGATGAAGAGGAGACCAAGAAGGTGCTAGGCTATGATGAAACCATCAAGGCTGAATTGGTCCTCATTGATGAAGACGATGAGAAGTCTTTGAGGGAGAAGACAGTGACGGACGTGTCCACTATTGATGGGAATGCGGCGGAGCTTGTGTCCGGGAGGCCAGTGTCCGATACCACAGAGCCCTCATCCCCAGAAGGGAAGGAAGAGAGCCTGGCCACAGAGCCAGCCCCAGGTACCCAAAAGAAAAAGCGCTGTCAGTGCTGTGTTGTCATGTGACCACTCTTTCCTCCCTTTTCTTCTGGGCAGCCTGTGTGCTCTCCACCACTTATGCAGACCTTGCTGTTCCACTAACTGCAATACTGTGAACTGGAAGCAAACACCTGCCTTGCCTTGCAGTTGGATTGCTTTGATTTCTCTTATTTTTTTTTTTCCCTATCATTTTTCTCCAGTTTCCTCACCTGAGAGACAACATGCATGTGTGTGCTTCGTTCTTTCCAAGAACTTGCTTTTCCTCTAAACCTTTCTTTGTGTCTTCAAGAGTGAATCAATTCCTTACTGCTCCATTGGAATGAACTCTTCATATCAACCAGTTCTATAGTAGCCTTAACTCAGTTGACTGGAATTTAACCTATTAGCACTGGGAATTTTCATGGTGTAGCGTGATCCTATAACATAGACACACACTGCCACATCACTGATTTCTCACTTGCCTCCCTTGGTGTGCATTTTTGGTTTTATATCTTGTGTGGCAAAATGCTGTTGGCTCTAGCTGGTTGCTAGTGTAGCCAAAAGTGGACCTTACTTAGTCTGTCAAATCTAGGGTGATGCTTTTTGCTGCCTTACGTAAACTTCCAGATTACAGTATTGTGCATCAATGGCTTTCCTTCTGTTGAAACTGAGATGAAATTGATGTGAAGGAGAAGAACCCAGTGCTTGTCACAGCTGAAATTTAGGAACTGATTCTGTGACGTGCCTGTCAGCAGCCGTCTCTCTTCTATGGCTTAACTGATGAACGCTTTATATAACAAGCACCATTTTTAATTTTCTAAGGACATGAAACAAACATTGTTTTAAGCATCTGTAGTGGTCTCTAAACTTAGGCAAATTCACAAACCTTGTTTCTATGCTCTCAAAAAAAATATATGTAAAATTTTATATTGTTTTTCTTTTTCACGGATATTTTCTGATCATCTTAATGTATTTTCCATGAAGGGATCATTTTGAGGAGTTTCTCTGCAGTGACCATATTTCTATAACAGTCTTTCTGACCTACAGTGGTTACTCAGTGTTCCTACTTCATCGTGGATGGTGCTGTAACTGTATTAACTGTTCATCTCATGTGCACAGTTGATCACAGAGCCTTGCATCTGTACTCTGTTCTTGCTGTCCTCATGAGAAAGAGTCTTTCAGATCACTTCAATATGTAGGCTTACCCACCACAAAAAGATTTTAAAAAAAGAAAACAACTCTAAAATGTAAAAAAAAAATTAACAAGATTAGGAAAGACCTGTTTCCTTAACATGAATTAAATTCACTCAACAAACACTGATTGAATGGCACATAGCTGAGCTGCTTAAATCATTGTTTCTTAAACTTTTAGAGATTCCAGAACATCAAAGAATATTTTTTATCTTCAACACAATGAACAGTTCTTTCTTGGCACCTCTGTTCAACCCCAAGCCAACAGCCACATCCATAGTGAAACCAAAGGGAAGTTATTTAGTAAAATAATAATATAAGAATGAAATAAATATGTAATGTTTTAACTGATTTTAATAATAGAGATATATTAACTTTTAAGTTATTTGCTCAGATGTTCATAGCATTGCTGCAAATTATTCACAAAATTATCTAGGTTCCTTGAAACATAGTTTCAGAAAACAGCAGATACACTACATGGAGCCAGTCTCTGTGGAAAGGAGATGCAAAGTAAAGGTAGTCTTGAGAGAGTTTTATTCCAGGGCCAACTAAATTTGCCCTGTTTTTCTATTTGCTCAGTGTGAGATCTAATCAAGTACTGTTTTCCAATTTCTTGATAGAAAGTTGTATTTATTCCAATTGTAAAAGGAAAAAAACGGCTTTTTTTTTCTACTTTCATAGTTTTTCTCAAATATGTTTTTAATGAGCACAAAGTAAGTCATTTTATCACCAATATGTAAACCAAAAAAGTTAAGGAAGGAACTGATTCCACTTTCTAAGGTGACCCTGCCAGGGTGTGCTTTTGAATAGTTGGAAAATTATCTTTCAACCTTAGGCCACCTAAGCAGCTCCAGTTGAATAAAGCTGCTCTGGTACCATTACTAGAAACCTGGTTTTGATGCCTAGAAATCTCTCTACTCTTGGCTTCAGGCTTCTCAGTACATGATCATTTAAACTTTAAATGTCGTGACATGCCAAATAAATCTATGTATGCAGAAGGATTTGGACAATCTATTGTTTTAGGAAAGAAACAATCTAAAAAGGTACCATAGCTAATCTCTTCTACACAGCTGGGGATTAAAACCATCCCATATGAGTTTTTAAAGCACAGTTAGTGAGCTGAAGGACAGAACTTAGAACCCTTGGGCTTGCTGTTTGAAAAACAGAATCTTCCAGGATAGAGAATTTCCATAAGTGAACGAGTTCACTTGCCTAATTGAACACGTTATTCATGAAGAAAAGTTTGATCCACCTCTCGCTACAACACGGCACAGAAGATCTCAAAGATCTTCATTCTCATCCATCGGTTATAGGGAATAACCTGGGGCTGTCAAGTCCATTCCAAGTCATAGTCACCCTGTGGGACAGAGTAGAACTGCTCCATAGGGTTTCCAAGGCTACAACCTTTACAGGGGCAGACAGCCACATCTTTCCCCTGTGGAGCAGCTGGTGGGTTCAAACCATGGAACTTTTGGTTAGCAGCCAAGTACTTAACCACTGAACCACCAGGGCTCCTTATTACAGGGAATAGTGGTTAGCAAATTGGATAAATTAGGGTTCTCTTTGTATTTTTATTATTAAAATTTATCATTTAATAGTTTTTAAAGTTAAGATATGCTACCTTTATGAAATTTCTTTGTGGCTACAGGTAATTGAAGGTATGTTTAAATATGGCCTATATATTTGCATAATTTGCATCCTTTTCCTACCATAGTGGAGATTCCAGTTCAGCCAATACTTTTTATGGGATAAAAACTACAATCCCACCTAGAGGAACAAGTTATGAAAATGTAAACAGAGTTGTGACTGAGTGTTCTGGCTCCACTGCTATGCTTGTATGTTCTCTGGGGACACGTTGGACTGTCTGACATCACACCCTTCACAATGCAGGCCACTTAGTAACCTAACCAGACTAATTAAAGAATCAGCGGTGAAGCTGCAAAAGCATGGTCTTTGAGCTAATGGTTAGTTGGGTTTTCTTTTCAAATCTTGTGACCAGCTTCCTTTTTAATGAAAAGGAGAGAAAGGGGGAAGAGTATTCCATTTGTTTATAAATACATTTTCAATGGCATTTAATTAAAGGTCTTTTAATAGTTAAATTTTAACCCCACATATCCTGAAATATCTTGATGACTTGGGTGTTCTTGAATATTTTTTAATGCACAAGGCAACACACTAACCCCAAACCAAACCCATTGCAATTGAGTTGATTCTGACTCATGCCAGCCCTGGAAGGGCAGAGTAGAATTGTCCCGTAGAGTTTCCAAGGCTGTCAGTCTTTACAAAAGCAGACTGCCATGTCCTTCTCCTGCAGATTGGCAGGTGGCTTGAAACCGTTGACATTTCGGTTTGCAGCTGAGTGCTTTAACCATTGTGCAACCAGGGCTCCTTGTGAAACAAAGGCAATTTTTTTTTCACTTTATATCTCTTTTACCCATAATTATGTTACTTAAAAAAAAAAGATGCTACTCTAAAAGTGATTTGCGGTATCCAGTGATGTCATTTAATATTTGATCTAGGATGGCCTCAGGCCTAAGGCAGTCACCTGCCACACCCAAGGCTGGTGGTTCAAACCCACTAGCCACTCCCCACCAGGTAGCCGGGCTGTCTCTTTAGGAGCTCTGGTAGTGTAGTGCCTAAGGCACTTGACTGCTAACCAGAAGGCTGGCAGTTCAAACCCACCAGCCACTCCTCGGAAGGAAGATGGAGCAATCTACTTCCATAGTGATACTGCCTCAGAAACCCAAGGAGGGGTTGCTTTGAGTCGGGTCTGACTCGATGGCACATAACAACAACAACAGGAAGAAAGAGGGCTAGGGAATTCCTTTCTGTGCAAACCCAAAATTTGCTCTCCTTAAGCCTCTTCAGCAATCTGAAAATTATTCAAAGGCTTTCTGGAAACTCAAACAACTTCTAGAGCTAATTTGATTTGACTTCTTTCTGAATTGGTAATAAACGTGTATTTACTTCACATTCCCACCTATTCTATTTTACTTCCTGGTGGTTAATGTGTTTTTTCTACGTGCAATTAGAATAGGTTATTTTCGTTAGGGAGGCGCTCTTGTGGCAAAATGCCTAAGGCATTTGACTGCTAACTAGAATGTTGGCAGTTCAAACCCACCAGCCACTCCGCAGAAGGAAGACTGGGCAATCTACTTTGGTAAAGATTTACTGCCTCAGAAACCCAGTGGGGGTTGCTGTGGGTCGGAATCACATAGATGGCAGTGAGTTTGGTTTTTTGCTTATTTTTATTAGGGTCAGCTTTTGTCAAAGGGGTAATGGAGACACATTATCATCTCTGTAGCAAAACACTAAGATCAAGTGTGAAAACAGCTTATCCTGCAAAATTCGTTTTAAGACACCACAGAACATCCATAAAATTTATCATTAATTTAATGCCGGTGAACCCTGGGTTGCAAAAGAGGCGGAGAGAATATGGTGATAGAGGCAAAGTTCCAACTACTCTGCTAGTTCTTCCGTCTTACAGAGCGTCAGCCCTGTCCGTTGAAAACACAGTGAGCATAGGCAGAATCCTCAGCGAGGGCTTCAGTGTTCATACTCAAAACCCAGAAGCCCAGGCCTGTCTGTCCATCATATGACCCACTGGAGAGTTTAACCCACCAAAGGACCCTTTCCTTGTGGGGATAGTCTCATTTCCAGCAATGTTTGTTTATAACAAAAACCATTCCAAGGCAGGCACTTTCAGGTTGTGTTTCTGCAACTTGCACAGGTGTTACTGAACCCCAAAACCAGTTCAACAATTAATTGTCATGGAGTCATTCCAACTCATGGCCACCCCATGTGTGTCACAGTAGAACTTTGCTTCAGAGGGTTTTCAATGGCTGGTTTTTTTACAAGTGGATTGCTAGGGCTATCTTCCAAGGTGCCTCTGGGTACACTCAAC